TAATTAGATCTTGAAATTTTTAACTCATAAAATATTAATAATAATAACAACAACAAATATCTAATTAAAACAATTTACGACCCAATTTTCCTTGAAAATTATGTTCCGGGCTTTTATATTAAAAAAAAAAGTAATAATAATTATTATTATTATTATTATTATTATTATTATTATCTTGAGTGTTATGATTATGATTATGAATTTTAGCCCCTGGATCTCCTCCTCGAGTCGAGACAGTCCCCCAACTCTTCTAAAGTCGGATGAAGCTCTTCCATTATGGAAATTTTGAACTCATTCGAAAATCAATACGGACACCCGATCGCCATTTTAACTAGACTATTTAGCTAGTTTATGTCCCTACTACCCCTGCCCCTCGATCCTCCTACCCCTTTCATATTTCATACTTCATCCATTCTGATTACTTATTAGATAATTAAAATTAAACAATCATAACTTAAAAAAAAAAAAAATAAAAAATATTGAAGCTTAATTTTCTATTAAATTTAATTGTTATTATTTCGTCATCCAAAGTATTAGAGGTATGGAAAAATTGATAGACCTTTTTTGTAGCTTAGAAAATTTCCTATCAAAAATTCCATAAAATTTTTCAATATTTTTGATATTCAGCCCAGAATTGAAATTCAAAGTTTTAAAATACGAAAAAAGATTATCTTTAAGCGGAACAAAGAACTGGCTATAAAATTGATAATAATAATAATAATAATACCTTGAGGAATTTTTAAAAATTCTTGGAAAAAATAAAAGCAAGAATTTAAGCTAGAGGTATTAAAGAAAAGAAAAAGAAAGAAATAAAAAATGAAAAGAAAATAAAAAGCAAAGTAAATAAATGAAAGATAGAAGAAAAAAAGGAAAAAAGGAGCCGAGAGGAGCGAGGAAGGGTTAAGTTTTTTAGTTTCACAAACTGGTTCGAATTTTTAATGAAAAAGGCGGGTGAATGTGCGCTCGCGCAAAGCTTACAACTCTAACTATACGTACACCGTCCACGGAAAAACCGGTTATTTATACTCTATAACCCTCTATATTTTGCTTTTGTACAGATAAATTTACCTTTGTATCTAACATTATATTTTAACGCTCATTCCGGAATTATAGATCCTTCAGAAACATTTTTAAAAAATTAAAAAACATTTTTTTCTACTCTAAAAAAATTAAATTTTTTAAATCCTGATGTTAAAAATCATTTATTAACAGTTAATAAAGCTTATTAAATATAAACAATCCTTCTATCAAAAATATTTAAATAATTTTTTTATAGGAAATGTTCCAGGCTACTAAAAATGTCTATCAAATTTCCTAATTTCTGATATTTAATGATATCTAAGTTCTAGAAAAATCAAAATATCGTTTTTTAAATTCCAAATTCAAATTTTGGGCTTAATAATAATAATAATAATACGAAAGAAATTGTAATTTTTATTGCAACTATGCAAGTATGTATCGACGTTAAAATTACACAAAGTGCATACATGCATCATGTAGCAGTCAGAGAGTGTAGAGTCACAACACAATAAACGTTTAATGTCTAGAGTCTACAGTGGCCATATCCGTACTCTAGTTTATAAGCCGTCATATCTATAGTAAAATCCACGCAATTTATATTCCATATACATATATATATATATATATATATACATTTAACAAATATGGCGGAATTGACCGTACACGCGAGCTTACCCTACTACAGTAAGTTGATGACATGTAAATAATTAATTTTGCTTAAAATTTACTTCTCGGCTTTGGAGGCTTCTAGAGCTTCTGGTATTGATTTTACGACAAAAACTCTCAGACTTTTTTTTTTTTTCACTATTTTATTTTATTTTCTACAAGTGCATTTTATTACATTTTTTTAATTTAGAGGAATTTTTTGTTTAATTACTATTTTTTTTTTGTCGAAATAATTTTATTTTATAGAAAAGTTTTTTTATCCAGGAAAACTTTGTATTGGTAGAAAGGGGATTAAATTTCCCACAAAAAAAATCTTTTTTCTCGTTTTCAATTAGAGCAATAGGAAACGAGAAAAATGGATTTTCCTGAAAAAACTCTAATTTTAATAAAAATCTTAGAATTTTTCTATAAATTTCAAATTTTCTAGGAAAATATTGAAAATAGCCCCGGAAAACCTTGTATTGGTAGAAAGAGAATTAAATTTCCTACAAAAACAAAACCTCTATGGTTTTTTTTTTTTAATTAGACCAATAAGAGACGAGAAAGATGAATTTTTCCTATGAAAAACTTTAATTTTTGTAAATACGTGAAAATTTTCCCGATAAAACCTAAAATATCTCGGAAAATATTGAAAATAGTCCCAGAAAAGCTTATATCATTAGAAAGAGGATAAAATTTGGCTGAAAAAACGGTGATAACTTTGGCGATATGACCAATAGGAGGCCCGGAAATCGGGATCGAAGTAGAAGGAAGCAGTAAATAACGTACCAACAAGGATAAAAAATAAATAAACGTTAGAAGTCACCGACATTTGAGTAGCGTCTGTAGTAATAGTGGTCGCCGGTAGAGGTGGTAAGCCCTCTTGCTGGAGTAGAGAGGGGGCTGGAGAATAAAAGAGAATAACCGGCGCAAAAAATGATTGAGAGGGGGGAATGAATTTGCGAGGGGAATTCGCGACGCGGGTTTAAGAGTCACGACCGGTAGGAGACAAGCGCCCGCGTGGGGAGGCGAACTTTGGAAGGAGAGTGAGTGTAGGGGGTCCCCCTACAGGCCGAAGCTGGCGTCGGATGCAACAAAACGTAAAAAAATTCAGTAATAAAAAAAAGTTAAATAGAAATAAAAATATCCGAGGAAGCGAGGGAGCCAGTAAAGATCCAGTGGGGGCGGAAAAAGAAAAGACCAGCGAACAAGGAGAACGCCACGTTTTCTTTCTTTCTTTCTTTCTTTTTTTTTTTATTACTTGTTATTGTAGGTCGTTATATTTTGTTAAGTTTTACCGCTAGAGGACCTTAAAGAGTTCACAGGACCTCATCAAAATTACAATTTTTCCGGAAAATTTCCCTTTAAACTATTGTTAGGAAAAATTATTTTTATTTGAAAGAAGTAAAGGAGAAAATTGAAAAGTGGGTAGGTCATTAGATAGGAAATTTTCCGGAGTACAATTTTACTATCTGAAAATTTTTCTAAACTCAATATTTTCCGAGTTAGCCGCTTTTAAAGTTGGCTCTAGAAAATTTTATGGAAAAATTAGCTCCTAATTGGAAAAACTAAAATTATTAGGAAACAATTGGGTCTAGGAAAATTTTTTAGGAATGAAAATTGCAGCCCGGAAAATTTCCTAACCAAAAAGCTACCAAGGTTTATAGTTTAGATTTTTATTTTGAGAAAAATTGGCTCTTAAAGACAAAAATGAAGAAATTGGCTCTAATTGGGAAAATTTAATTAGTTTTTATTAGCTCTTATTACTCAGTCATTTTTCGGGAAAATAAAGATTGGTTTGAATAATTGGATAGGAAATTTTCCGGGCTGTAATCCTGGTCTCATTAAAAATTTTCCTGAAATCAATTTTCAAGTTACAGCCCTTTAAAGGTTTAAAATTTTGTATTTTCCGGAAAAATTTGCCCAATTGTTTAAATTAAGACAGCTTAGGAACAATTGGTCTAGGAAAATTTTTATGAGCTAAAATTATAGCTCGGAAAATTTCCTACCATACAAAAACGATTAAGCGTACTTATCTCCCTTATTTTCCGACAAAATGTCTTTTATAAAGCTCAAAAGCTCATTTTCCGAAAATTGGACGGATTTTCCAATTGTTTAATAAAAACAATTAATAATCGTTATGAAAAGAAAAGCAACAGCTATAAAAAAAAAAAAAAAATTTAAAAAGAAGAATAGGCTAAATTTAATAAAATTAAAAAAAATATGAATCATTATTATCGTAACAATTAAGATACTAAACTTTAATAATATAAAGTATCAATGTACAGTGTATAATTAAATAACAATAAAAATTTTATCGTTTTTTTTTTTTTTTTCAATGTTTCAATAAACAAAAATATTAAGTGTATTGACTTCTTAAATCTTATCTTCTACTAAAAATATAAAATAAAATAATTGTCGTCGGTCATTTTTATTTGTTTTTATTTTTAAAATTTATTTTCTGGAAAATTTAAAAAAAAATTCCTACAATATTTTCTGACAATTTTCCGGAAAATTTTGTTATTATTCGTAAAACATATATAGACAGTAGTTTTCATTCATACTACTCACAGACCCTTTTTCCCTCCTTCAATCACTGTGAACTCGACGATTGTTTCTCTCTTTTTAGTATATATATATATATATATATATATATATATATAAATGCTTTGACTCTCTGGTCTTTCACTCTTTTACTCTGTTTTACTCACTCGTATCATTTCAAAACAAACGCACATGTACACACCAGTTGGTATACTCGCGCTCTATAAATATTATAATAATTGTAATAATATTATATACATATTTTATTAAAAGAATTAAATGGAATATTTAATTCAAGTAAAAATAAAATACTTGACACATTTTTAAGTAAATATTATTTTATGAATAATTATTATTATTATTATTATTAACAAGTATATTTTGTCACTTTTAAATCAATTTATTATTACTATTATTTTTTAAATAATATAATTCTTTTAAGAAAATAAAAAGAATTTTTTTTTTTTTTTTTTTTTTTTTTTTTTTAATTTATTTTTGTTCGCAATGAAAACTTTCTAAAGTATTTTTAATATTTATTAAATAGTTTACTAGTGTAGTATATAAAGTAATATTACAAGAACTTTCTATTGTATAACGTCACGATTTCATGATTATTAAATTTTTATTTTCATTAAATTAAATGCAAAAAACTTTCATTGAAAATTAATTTTTTTTTATTGTTACAGATCTGTTCCTGGAAAGAATAAAAATAAAAAAAAAAATAACCGGAGCCTAATAAGAAAACTAATTAAATGATAATTGTAAAAAATTTAAATGAAAAAAGAAAATAAATGCGTATAAAACCAAAAGCATATATCCGGAACGCAGACGGAATTTATCACAACGTTGAAGACGTATCTAAAGAAATGACAAACATGTTTCCCCAGCAGTACTGTTTGAGGTGGAAGTACCACCATAGCAATCTCCAGACAATGTTCTCACAGCTGTTGGAGAGGCAGGCTTACTGTGACGTCACTCTTGCCTGCGAGGGACAAACTCTTCGTGCGCATAAGGTTTGTTTATATTAACTCCTTTTTTAACTCTTTTTTTTTATAAAAATTCATAACTTGAAAAATTGTAAAGATAAAGAAAAGTTTTTAGGCTTAAAATTTTCTCCATAAAATTTTCCATCTGGAAAAATTTTATTTTCTTCAAAATTCCCTATAGATTTTCTACAAAAAAATTCCCAAAGTTTTTTTTTAAAAATTTTTTTCTACAATTTAATTTTATTTTTCTTTGAAAAAAAAAAAAAAAAAAAAAATAATCTCTTCAGAACGATGACTTTAAAATTCTCATTATTGAAAAAGAAACAAAAAATGATGAGGAGGATGACAAAGTAATTTATTTTTCTTGAATAAAAAATAAAAAATAAAAAATAAAAAATAAAAAATAAAAAAAAAAGAAAAAACAGTGCACGGTTATTTCGAAAATTGATTATCTACAGTAAAATAAAACGATATTGACTCACTGATAAAAGCAACTTTATATTAGAAAAAATTACAACACACAGCAGGCTTTTATCGTGACCCAAATAGCCTTTGGTAAAAAAAAAAATTTAAAATTTTATATTCAATTAGTTTCGGAAAATAAAATAACAAGAAATTAAAACCCCGCCCTGAAAAAATTAAATTTCATTTTAAAATAATTATTTTTTGATGTCTGGTGAGGAGTGCGGACACGTGTATGAGTATGAGTAACTAACTGGTAGTACATAGTTATAGTAGTGACATCAATATAGCTTGAATATTTAATATCGCGCGTCTTGTGTATTGATTTTCTTGAATTTTCTCCTTTCCACCTTCGAGCTATCCGCGAAATAGCCGCCGAGAAGAAATGGGGCCGAAAGGCGTCAACTTTTCACCTAACATTTGTGCTACTTATTTATTATTATCATTTTTAATTTTTATATGCTATTTTTAATTAAAATTTTCCATACAAAATTACTCATAAATATTTATAATGGAAATTTTTTATTAAAAATTCCTCATTATAATTTTTAATAAAAAATTTTTTATCATAAAAAATAATAATAATAATAATTAATTTAAATTTTTTTCAGGTGGTGTTAAGTGCTTGCAGTACATATTTTGACACAATATTATCACAATATGAAGAAAAAGATCCAATAGTAATAATGCGAGATGTTAAATTTTCCGACATTAAAGTTCTTGTTGAATTTATGTACAAAGGAGAAATTAATATTGATCACGTGAGTTTATTTTATTTAATAAAATATTTAAATATAATCCAAGACACGGTAGTACCCGTACCAAGTAACCCCTATAATAAATACTGACAATTAAAATCCTTGCAGACGAGACTGTCATCACTGCTGAAGACTGCCGAAGACCTGCACATAAAAGGGCTAGCGGAAGTCAGTTGGCGAAGTGATGCTGCCCAGAATGACTCGAACAACAGCGGACACAGTCCCGGCAGTGGAAGCGGAGCCAGCGGAATCGGGGGCAGCGGCGGCGGGGGCGGAGGAGGAAGCACTGGGACCCCTGGGGTCGAGACTGTTCTCAGAGAAGGCGACCTTGACGACACACCTCCACCCCACAAGCAGAGACGCAGGGGCCGGCCGCCCTTAGACGATCCTCCGTCTCAGCACGATGTCTTTACCCCCAAAGTTTCCTGTATTACCGGCAGCGGAAATGTAAGAAATTTTTTTTTTTTTTTTATTTTCATTTTTTGTTTTTTAAATCCCTGATAGCCAAACCGGTCGCAACTTTCCGTTGATTTGCTGCAGCAACTTGTCACCAAGTTGGCGACAAGTTTTGGAAATGAACTCGGTTGTTCACCAAGTTGTCGCCAAGTTGTCGGCAGAAATTGCTTTCGCACCAAGTTGACGACAAGTTTCTCGAGAAATTTGGCGACATATTGCAGCAGTAGATTGGTCTTGTTTTTCTCAGAAACTTGTTGTAGCCAACTTGACGCCAACAGTTTCAAATTCGGAAGTTGACCGCAAGTTGTCGTCGGTAAGTTGGTGGCAACTATCTGACACCAACTTGGTTGGTCTGAAACTGTAGCTATCAGGGTAATAAAGCATTAATTTTTATTTTTAGGAAGAAATGATGAGTGAAGGTGACCATGAAAGTTGGGATGATGAAACTATGATGACTGACAATGAGCCCGTACAAAATGTTAGTGATTTATTTTTTATAAATTATAATTTGCAATTTTTTTTTTTTTTTTTTTTTTTTTTTTTTTTCATTTTTAATATTTAATATAATTTTTTTTAGATATCGTATCTTTCAAAAGAAGAGAACGCTAATGAAGACAAAAAACGTGAGTAATTTATTTTATTATTAACTAGCAACCTTAATTGCACTGCACTTTCTTAAATATTGAAATTTTTAAAGATATAAGCTCATCTTGATATAACACTCATTAAGAGCTTTCATTCGAGTACCCACATGCATTTTTGATATATTTTTCATATATTTATATATATATATATATATATAATATACATCAATATATAAAAAATTGATGTGGGTACTCAAATGAAAAGTCTCGATGAATGTAACACCATGATGAGCTTATATCTTTAAAAATTTCAATAGTTCACGAGATACAAGGTCATTTTTTAATTATGTATCATTTATAATAAATTTATTATTGGTGAGAATGATATAAATGAATAATTACAGCAAATATAGCGACAAATTCAAATGCAACAAATCCAGCGGTTCCAGAACAATTCCGAGACGTAATAAAAATGAATGACTATTTAACAACCGGTAGGCGGCAGGAGTTCTGGGAGGAACCCTTTACACGTCGAGTGATGGACGCGATTAAGAGTAAGGAATTAGAGATGAAGACTGCTGCTGAGATTCTCGGCGTATCTTACGGAACTTTATACGGAAGATATCGTGACAGCTATGGTTGTCTCAAGCATCCATACAGGTAATTTAATCTTTCCGATATTTTATCAAAAAAACTTTAATAATTTTTTAAATATCAAATTTAAAAAAATCATAAGGTACTTTTTTTGTAAAGCAGAAAATTTACTACCAAAAAATGTCTAAAGAATATTTTTTATCTTACTTGTAAGACGAAATATAAATAGTAATTTAACTTTTGGCAACGAGCATTAAGTGTGTTATGAAACACGAGCGCAGAAACTAAAAATTGTTATTTTTTTCTCAGAGTTCGAGACTTTTGGTCCGAGCCAGGTCCCGCTGATGTCTTAGCGAAGCTACGCCGCAAAGAGATAACCTTGTTCCGAGCAGCGGAGTTCCTGAACGTGACCGTTCACACCTTAGCGACGTACTTGTCGACGCTCCAAGGCCCGGACCGGATTTCCCTAGCGGGAGAATTAAACGCAAGTGTCCTGGACAGCGTGAACGACTCGGAGGACATTAACGACATCGTCCAGAAATACAACGCGGAGAAGATCTCCTCGACCCCGGCGTCTCCGACACTGCCTCCGTCTCTCTCCCTGTCGTCGAAACGCAGCAGCAGCAGCAGCGCCGAGCTCGTAAGCAGCCTCGTGGACGTCAGTATCAAGGCCAGCGCCGCAGTCCTCGAGAATAACCCGGACATCACTATTGTTAAGACTGAGAGCCTCCAGGGGTCCTCTCGCAAGCGGGAACACGCCAAAGGCACCACTTCTGCGACCGTAACTGCACTAACCGCTAACTCCGAGAACAACAACGCTAAACTTATGAGTGGTGGCGGGTGCATCAGCGAGTCCTCTTCCGCTCATAAGTTGAATGATCAGCTCTCGCTTAATAATGATCACAAACCCTAACTGTTCAGGCCTTATTTAATTATTAATAATAATAATAATAATAATAACAATAATGATAATGATAATATTGATAATAATAATTATTATTATTATGATATCAATCAACAATTTAATATTAACAATTATAATAATGTTTATTTAAATGACTATTTTAATGATAATGCTAGAAATAATAATAATAATAATAATAATCGTATGCAATTTTATCAACGTAAATTGGTTAGATTTCTAACAAATTTCCGTACGAACTGATAATATTTATATAAATATTTTTCAATTTTTTTTTTATACAAGAAAAAAAAAAACAAAAAAAACAAGATTACACTGAGTATCATCCCAGATTATACTGAGTATAATCCAGATATCACTGATAATAATCTGAGATGATATCCAGTATAATTTTGTTCTTTCCGTGTAAATTAAGTTAATTAATTTCAATTAACTCGATAATTAATCTGATTTATTTAAAATTAGGAGTAAAACTCCATTAAGGCTAAAAAATTTTTTTCCATTTTTAATTTATATAAAAAAAAAAAAAGCATTTATTTAAATAATACCCAATAAATTTTTTTATTAAAAAAGTTACTCTGCAAAACAAAAGTAATTATAAAATAATGACATTAAAAATAATATATTCTATACAACAATAATAAATAGTAATAATAATAATAATGCAGTAAATAAACAAAGATAAAAATGTATACACTAGAAATATTTTCTGCATGTCTTTATTTTTAGGCATTATAAATCAATAATCATAAATAAAATAGACTATAATTATTATTATTAATTAATAAGTAATACAAAAATTTATAATATTAATATTATTAATAATAATGAACAATGGAAAAAAAAAAGAAGGAAAGAAACAGAACAAGAAATAATAATGTTATGAACAATTGAAAAAAAAAAAAAAAAAAAAAAAAAAAAAAAAAAAAAAAAAAA